CCGCCCCGAAATGGGGGCAGACACCCCCCTCCTGGGTGCCCCCTCACCTCGTCCCGCTTCTTGGAGCCCAGGAAGTGCCGGGCCACGTGCTCGGGCAGCATGTTGGTGACGAGGGCCTCGTTCCAGCGCCGCATCTCGTAGACGCGTTCCTTCTGGTCATGGACATCAATCTTCCAGAGGAAGAGGGTCCTGGCCAGCTTCTCCACCTGTGGGTGGGAGGATATGGCTGCACCCCCAGTTCTCACACCCCGTCCCCCCCCCCCCCCCCCCCCCCAGTGGGTCCTCTCCAGCTCTGGGAGCATCCTGGGGACAGTCTGGACTTGGGGACAGCGTGGAAGAAGGCTCTGGGACAAGGTGGAGCCCTAACTGGGGACATGAGACCTGCTCCGGGGTGCAAAGGGGACCCTCGCAGGGCAGGTGTGGGACCTGGGGCCACCACGTCGCTGCCCACCCCTAACCATGGTGGGGGGGGGGGGGAGAGACAGAGGTGTTCTGCACCAATGTGGTCCTGGAGAACCCTTGGGTGGGCTTCCTTGGGGAAGAGCCGGAGATGCTCTTCGCAGCTGGGGCCAAATCCTGCTGCCTTGGAGCTTGCAAGAAATAAGGGGCTGAGGGTGAAGACGCGGAGGGGAGCTTCTCAGGTGGTGGGGCGAGTCACTCACGTGGCGAGAGAAGTAGTAGAAGCTGAGCATCACGATGAAGATCATCGCCGTCATGGAGTACTTGGAGGGGACCGGCGAGGACCTGCTGGCGGAGGGGGCGAGGCGGGGGTGGGCGGTGGGCACGGCCACAGCCCCCCCCCCCCCCTAAAAAAACATCTGCCCACCACCTCCTCCCCGCCACCCCTTACGTGCTTTGCCGGCCACGGCGGTGGTCGTACTGGTCGAAGATGTGCTCCCAGGCGTAGATGTTGACGGCGCCGGTGGCCCCGGTGATCAGCACCATGAGGGTCAGCTTGACCATGTGGCTGACCTGCACCAGCATGATGGTGGCCACCAAGGCCAGCACGGCGATGTAGCTGTAGTACTTGGGCTGCTCCCCGCAGCCGCCCGCCCGCGGTGGCCCCACCGTCCCGTTGCCCGTCCCGCCGTGGTCCTGCCGGCAGCTGAGCTGGGGGCACGAGAGCAGGGTGAGGAGGGGGACGTGGGGCCAGGGGGCGCCTCTCCACGGACTACGTGGCCACCCGAAGGGACAGACAGGGTGCTTTGCAGAGCAGGAGGAGGCCGCCCAACTTAAATTTCCCTCCCCGCTACGGTGCAGCCACGCTAATTGCTTTAACGATCAGCCGTGCGCGGGGCCGTGGACAATTACGGGTTGCTTGGGTGGAGGTTGAAACAGGCTCAGCCCCACTGGCCCCCCCCCCGGGGCTGGTGGCTCACCATGTCCACGATGTCGGCCATGGTGACGATGATGATGGCAGCCATAGCCCAGGTGTTGCGCGCCCAGCGGGTCCTGTCGATCCAGGTGGAGAAGGCCACGAGCTTTTTGGGGAAGACCTGTGGGGAGAGGAAGGTGGAGGGAAGGGGGGTGGGGGGGTGGGTTCGCCCAGGCAGGACACGGTGACGGGGACATCATCACCATGAGTGGTGGGCCCGGCCCGTCTCACCCGGGGGAAGATGGCAGCCAACGAGCAAAGGGTGAGGATGAGCAGCAGGATCTCCCCCACCACGAAGGTCACGTAGTTGGCCACCAACCTGCCGAAAAGGCCGAGGGTGGGGGGGATGGGTTTGAAGCCCGGCGTGGCTTGGGGCCACCCATCCCCACCACCTCCTTGCCGTACCAAGGGTCGATGAAGACCTCCACCAAGGCGGTGAAGAAGAGGACGACGCAGGAGCAGCTGAAGGCGGCCCCGCTCTGCTTCTCCTTCTCCACCGAGTAGCGCGTCTCCATCTCGGGGTCAATGAAGCGCATGGAGAGCCGGAAGGTGCTCTTCCCCTTCAACCTGCCAGCAACACCGCCCGTCAAGCACCCGGCGGCACCGGGACCCTGCCGGGACGCGCCGCCGGTTGGAGTCACTCACGCCTGGACGGACTCGCGTTCCAGCAAGGCTTCGTTGAGCAGCTTGTTGAGCTCCTGCTCGTTCTGCGAAGCGTCGATCACCCGCTCGGCCAGGTCCCGCAGGCGCAGCCGCCGCCGGGGGTTGGGGAAGGAGGGGTTCACCGCCTGCGCCGGCACAGCCGAGGCATCAGCGAGACGTCCAACCGCCCCAGTATGGCCCAAGCTCCCCGAACGCCGCTGGAAGGGGGATGCTTTGCAGGGGGGTTGTACCTCTCCATCTTCCTCCCCGCTCTCCAGGGTGCCCCTCACCCTGGCGTCGGGCTCCTCGGGCTCCTCGGGGCTGGCGCAGGCCAGGCTGAGGCTGCCGTTGCGCTCCTTGGTGTTGACCAACGGCGGGGAGGCGCCGTGGGACGAGGTCAGCGACAGCTTCTGCAAGGTGGAAGGCGGTGGGTCGCAGGTTTTGGGGGGGGGGACACACGGAATGTCGCCTCCACCCACGGCACCGCTGCCACCACTCACCACCCCGTTGATGCCGTTGCGCAGGGGCTGCTTGGGGACCGCGACGAGGTAGGTGACGATGCCCTTCTCCTTCAGGTACTCGCAGCGCGAGCCGCCTTCGCCCGGCTCCACCTCGAACTCGCCCTTCAGGCAATCCATGGTGCTCTGCGAGATGTGCACCCGCCTGCCGGCACCGGGCGCCCGTGTCACCCTTGGGTGCGGAGCGTGTTTCCACCCCCCACCCACCCATCACCACCACCACCACCACCACCACCATCACCACCATCACCACCATCACCATCACCACCATCACCACCATCACCATCACCACCACCACCACCACCACCATCACCATCACCACCACCACCATCACCACCACCACCATCACCACCACCACCATCACCATCACCACCACCACCACCATCACCACCACCACCATCACCACCACCACCATCACCACCATCACCATCACCACCACCATCACCACCATCACCATCACCACCATCACCATCAACACCACCACCACCATCACCACCACCACCACCACCACCATCACCACCACCATCACCACCATCACCACCATCACCATCACCACCACCACCATCAACACCACCACCATCACCATCACCACCATCACCACCACCACCATCACCACCACCACCACCACCACCATCACCACCACCATCACCACCATCACCACCATCACCATCACCACCACCACCATCAACACCACCACCACCACCATCACCACCATCACCACCACCACCATCACCACCATCACCACCACCATCACCACCAACAACACCACCACCATCACCATCACCACCATCACCATCACCACCATCACCACCATCACCATCACCACCACCACCATCAACACCATCACCACCACCATCACCACCAACAACACCACCACCATCACCATCACCATCACCACCATCACCACCATCACCACCATCACCATCACCACCACCACCACCACCATCACCACCACCATCACCACCATCACCATCACCACCACCACCACCATCACCATCACCACCACCACCATCACCACCACCACCATCACCATCACCACCACCACCACCATCACCACCACCACCATCACCACCACCACCATCACCACCATCACCATCACCACCACCATCACCACCATCACCATCACCACCATCACCATCAACACCACCACCACCACCACCATCACCACCACCATCACCACCATCACCACCATCACCATCACCACCACCACCATCAACACCACCACCATCACCATCACCACCATCACCACCACCACCATCACCACCACCACCACCATCACCACCACCATCACCACCATCACCACCATCACCATCACCACCACCACCATCAACACCACCACCACCACCATCACCACCATCACCACCACCACCATCACCACCATCACCACCACCATCACCACCAACAACACCACCACCATCACCATCACCACCATCACCATCACCACCACCACCACCAACACCACCATCACCACCACCACCATCACCACCATCACCATCACCACCACCAACAACAACACCACCATCATCACCATCACCACCACCACCAACAACACCACCACCATCACCACCACCACCACCACCACCACCACCACCACTGCTGCCTCCTCGCCCCTGGAGATGCTCACCCGGGGATTCCCCCCGCCTCCATCTTGTTGGCCACGGTGACGTCCGTGGACCACACGTCGTACTGCCAACGCTTCTGGCCCAGCACGCCCCCCAGCACCGTCCCGCTGTGCACCCCCACCCGCATGTCCACCGCCGTCTTGGTCTTCTCCCGCACGTAGCTGGAGGGAGGAGGAGGAGGAGGAGTCAGAGGGAGGGGAAAAAAGATGGGGAAAATACAGGGGTGACCCCCACCCAACCCATCCCCACTTCACCCCACAGCCCATCCCAAACCCAACCCCTCCAACATTCCGTAGCGCCGCTCGTTATTTCAAGGCATTTTGCAGAGGCTGGACCCCCCCCTCCCGCACTCCCCACCCCCCCCTCCCAAGCTGCACCCCAGCCCACCAAGCCCCCCTGCCCACCCTGGCACCCCCCCCTCCCCGAGGAGAAAGCCCTTACGAAATGGCCTCCACCATGGCCAGCCCCATCAGGATGGAGCAGACGGCGTGGTCCTCCCGGTACTCGGGCAGCCCGCAGATGCAGTAGTAGCAGTCGCCCAGGATCTTGATGCGCAGCTGGTGGTATTTCTGGGGGGGGGGGGGGGGGGGGGGGGGTTACGACGACACACACACACCACACACACACACACAGAGTGGTCAGAACGCCACCCCACCCCTCACCACCCCCATCCTTCTCCCAGGCTGACCTTGACCCACGCAGAGGTTTTACCCCGCCCGGTATGGACGCAAATAATCGGATTTTCCATTCCCACCCTGCCTCCCCCGAGGGCTCCACGCTCCAGCCGAGGGGGGGGGGCGGGGGGGGCCCTTCCCAGCTCTATTTTTGCAAAGCAGGGCGTCTCCAGCATCCCAGAGCCATCAGATTTTAACCTCCTCATTCCCATCCCAGGATGCAGCTTTCAGCTGGGGGCGGGGGGGGGGGGGCTGAGGCCTGTCCCACTCGTTCCATGCCAGGGCGGGGGCGAGGGGGGGTCGGGGGGGGGGGGTCACTCACAGCTGCCAGCTTGTCGAAGCGGGCGAAGAGCTCGTTGAGGAGCTTCACCAGCTCCTGGGCGCTGCAGGACGAGGAGAGCTGGGTGAAGCCCACGATGTCTGCGAAGAGGATGCTGCGGGGAGGAAGGGCGAGAGGCTCAGTCCCGGGGTCCCTGTGTGTGTCCCCCCCGCTGCAGCCCCCCGGGGTTCCCCCCGTTTCCCCGCTCTGCTTTCACGCTGGGGCCCCCCGCGCCAGAGAAAAGGCTATTTTTGGGGAGGTGGCTGAAAGCAATGCTCTGCAAACCTCAGCAGAGCAAAAAGGGGCCCCAAGCTGTGGTCTGGCTGGTGGCCTGTCCCCCGTCACCCTTCACGTCAGCTGCAAAACTCCCCAATCTCTCCCCTCTCGTCTAGCCAGGGATGCAAAATACACATTTTTGCAAAACAAAATAATTGGAGGGCTTTTTTTTTTTGTTTTTGTTTTTGTTTTTTTTTCCCCTAGGCAGCAAAAGGATGGGCCCACCTGACGTTCTCATGGCGATACATGTACATGGTGTTGAACTGCTGCATCTCCTTCTGGCTGGGGTCCTTCTTCATGTCCTTCAGCATCTCATCGGCCACATGCTTGGGCAGGATGGAGAGCATGAGTCGCTCCTGGGGACCGGGCAGCGACAGAGTTGGCCAGGAGGAAGCCGAGCCGGTGGCAAGCGCAGCAAGGCAGAGTGCAAATGCATTGTTTAAATGCACAGTGCAAATGCAGGATGCAAACGCATGGTGCAAATGCATTGTTTAAATGCACAGTGCAAATGCAGGATGCAAACGCATGGTGCAAATGCATTGTTCAAATGCACAGTGCAAATGCAGGATGCAAACGCATGGTGCAAATGCATTGTTCAAATGCAGGATGCAAACGCATGGTGCAAATGCATTGTTTAAATGCACAGTGCAAATGCAGGATGCAAACGCATGGTGCAAATGCATTGTTCAAATGCAGGATGCAAATGCATGGTGCAAATGCATTGTTTAAATGCACAGTGCAAATGCAGGATGCAAACGCATGGTGCAAATGCATTGTTCAAATGCAGGATGCAAACGCATGGTGCAAATGCATTGTTCAAATGCAAAGTGCAAATGCAGGATGCAAACGCATGGTGCAAATGCATTGTTCAAATGCAGGATGCAAACGCATGGTGCAAATGCACAGTAGAAATGCACGGTGCAAATGTACAGCTCATGGGCACTGGTGCAAATCCACTGCCTAAATGCACAGTGCAAATGCACAGTCTAAGTTCACAGTCTAAACGCCCAGTGCAAATGCACTATTTAAATGCATAGCGCAAATACATTGTGCAAATACATGGTGCAAATGCAGAGTGCAAATAGATACAGAGTCTAAATGCACAGCTCAACTGCACAGTGCACATATGCGGTGCAAATGCACAGTCTAAATGCACGGTGCCACTTCACAGTGCATTAAATGCACGATGCAAATACGCTGTTTAAATGCATGGTGCAAATCCACGGTGCAAATGCACAGTCTAAACACATGGCGCAAATGCACAATCAAAATTCACGGTGCAAAGGCAGAGTGCAAACAAATACACCGTCTAAATGCACGGTGCAACTGCACAGTGCAAAGTCACACTACAGATGCACAGTTTAAATGCACGGTGCAATCACTGGGTGCAAATGCACAGTCTAAATGTACTGTGGAAATGCACGATGCGAACTCATGGGCCAAATACATGGTGCAATAAATCTCAGACAGGGGAGGCCAGGAGGGTGGCAGTTTTGGGGCACTGCAGCCACCAGCCTCCCTGTCCCCGGAGCCGTAGGAAAGAGGGACAGTCCCACACATTTCTTTGGACACCGGCTGACAAGCCGCCAAATTTGCTTGTGCACCCCAAAACCTTTCTGCAGGCGCCCTACAGAGCCCAGCCCCTTGCTGGGAGCTGGAAAATTAAACTGCAACGGGTGGGCCGAGCTTTTATCCACCCCAGCAAGTGCTGGGAGTGACCTCGGGGTCTTGCACTGATGGTCCCAAAGGTCCCTGTGAGCTGCCCCAGGGTGTCCTCCCCCCCGGGGGGGTGGGTCAGAGCTGGGTGCGTGGACCTGAGTTAAACCACACCAGGGAGGATTGATCCATTTAAAAGCGTGCTGGGTATCCCACAGCCACGCGGAGGACTCAGCCAAAGTCCCACGGGAGGATCAAGCCCACTCGGGGACATCATACCCGTTGCTATCCCTGCTGTCCCTGCAGCCCCGGAGCTGGAGGAGGGATAAATCTTCCCAGCTGTGTGCAGGATTTGCACTAACTGTAAGTAACTCGGCTAATGAAGCGGGTTTTCCCGCGGGATGGGGGGGGGTTTCTGTGCGCAGCCGTGGCAGGGCTGTTGCTGGAGGAACGGCACCGTGTCCCCGTCCCCATTCCCCGGGGGGGGGTGTGTGGGAGCTCCCCAGCTCCCGTTAACCTCAGCTCTGCCCACGGAGCTGCGGGTTCAACCAGCACCCGTGGGCTGGAGGGAAAGGATCTGGCTGTTGGCATCGCTCGTGGCCAACCCCCCCCCCCCCCCCACGCTGCCCTGAGCCACTCGGCCTCACGCAAGCAGCCTTTCCTGCAAGAGCAGGGGCTATTTTTAGCTCAATTCCTTAAGGAAACTGAGCTCATCTGATAATAATCCCCACGGCCCTTTCTATACCCCCTCCAAACCCAGGGCCTCGAAGGTGCTCACACTCGGAGCAGCCCCCAGCCCCAAGATTCGCCCCCATCGCCCAAATCCCTCCCTGGACCTAACCCTTTATTAGACATCAGAGCATCCCGCCGGGTTTCCCAGCCCAGAGGACGCCGGTGGCGCTGGCCCGGCCCCGCCGCGTGTCTCCTGTTGCCATTGGGAGCAAATTGCTGGCAGCGGCTCAACCAGATAAGAGATGGGGAGAGAGGCCCCAGATAAAGGCGTTAAAATTAGCCCAGCTCCTCGCCGGACGGCGGCCGGAGACAACAGGGCTCTGAAGCACCACGACACCCGTTTCCCCCCCCCGCCAAACCCGCTCTGCTTGCCCGGCCACCACGGCGCGGTGCCGGCACAGCCGTGGGGGTCGTGGCTGGTGGGATGAGCGGGGAGCAGCTGGCTGCGCTCGCTTGCCGCCAGCTCGTCCTGGCAGGTCCCTGCAGGACCAGCCCCGGGGGGTGGCTGGATGGGGACCGGCTGCGTGGTCACGCTCAGGGATGGGGACCTGCCCTGGGGCTGTGCCTGGGGACAGGGACAGGCTGCATGGCCGTGGTCAATGACAGCGACGTGCTGCATGGCTGTGCACGTGGACAGGGACCTGCCACATGTCCGTGGCCAAGGACAGGGACATGCTGTGTGGCACTGCCTGGGGACAGGGACCTGCTGCGTGGTCACGCTCAGGGATGGGGACCTGCCCTGGGGCTGGGCATGGGGACAGGGACAGGCTGCATGGCTGTGTCTGGGGACAGGGACTTGCCACGTGTCCATGGCCAAGGACAGGGACAGGCTGCATGGCCGTGCTCAATGACAAGGACCTGCCGTGTGGCTGTGCATGGGGACAGGGACCTGCCACGTGTCTGTGCTCAATGACAGGGACCTGCTGTGTGGCACTGCCTGGGGACAGGGACCTGCTGCATGGCCGTGCTCAGGGATGGGGACCTGCCCTGGGGCTGTGCATGGGGACAGGGACAGGCTGCATGGCTGTGTCTGGGGACAGGGACTTGCCACGTGTCCATGGCCAAGGACAGGGACAGGCTGCATGGCCGTGCTCAATGACAAGGACCTGCCGTGTGGCTGTGCATGGGGACAGGGACCTGCCACGTGTCCGTGGCCAAGGATGGGGACATGCTGCGTGGCACTGCCTGGGGACAAGGACCTGCTGCCTGGTCACACTCAGGGATGGGGACCTGCCCTGGGGCTGGGCATGGGGACAGGGACAGGCTGCATGGCCGTGCTCAATGACAAGGACCTGCCGTGTGGCTGGGCATGGGGACAGGGACAGGCTGTGTGGCTGTGCCTGGGGACAGACACATGCTGCGTGGCCGTGCCCAATGACAGGGACATGCTGTGTGGCTCTGCCTGGGGACAGGGACCTGCCGTGTGGCCGTGTCTGGGAACAGAAAAATGCTACGTGGCCACAGCTGCAGACCTGTCACACGGCTGTGCCCAGGGACACGCCGCGTGGCTGCGTCTGGGGACCTGCCCCGTGGCCGTGCGTGGGGACCTGCTGGGTGGGGACAGCCTGGTGGTGGCCATGGCAGGAGCTGGGAGGCCCCTGGAAGAGGACGGTCACACGGCGTGTCCCCAAATCAGGCACAGGGTGCAAAACTGCAAATGCCTTTCCCACCTTGGGGCCTCCTGCCCCCTCCGCTGCCCACCACAGCCCCGCCGCGGGCCGTGGGCGCCTCATCCACGTCCCAAAGCTGCACCCGTGTCCCCAATCTGTCCCCCTGCCCCTGTCCCCTTGCCCAGCCGGGGGCTCCTACCTGCTGCTGGCTCTGCTCCTCCAGGTTGAGCTTGACCTCGAGGGACTGGCGCGCTTCGAGGAAGGCTTTGCGGTGCTTGCGGTCGGCCATGTAGTAGGACATGGTGCCCACCGTGATGGCGCAAAGGTAGATGGCAACGTTGGACAGGATCTTTGGGGACAAAGAAAAGGAAACGGGAGGGTGAGCAGAGCTGCGGTGAGTGTCTCGCGGGCAGTGCTGGTGTCACCGCAAGTCCCTCTTCGGGCAGCAGAGCCTGATGAGTGTGCGAAAAAAAAACAAGATTCGAACGCTGGGGGAGGACATAAAACACCCGCCCTGGGGATAAATCGCACAGCCACGGCCTGCGTTAACTGCTGGGGGGACTCAGGGGAAGGGTCTGGCTGGGAATCACGCCCGGAGAGTCCCAGGAGTCCTCGTGGTCCCCGTGGGCTGACTCCGCTTCATTAAAACTTGCAGCGATGTTTTGGAAAAAAGGCAGCAGGTGGGCAGGGGCTGGGCGCAGCCCCCCCGGGTTGGGGCGGGGGGGAAGGCGCTGCTGAAGGCGAGTGGTGGCTCCCCTGCCATCCGCTCCCCTCCGCCCCCCATCCCTGCCACGGGACTGGCACCGCTTTGTGCAGAAGTTAATAAAAACACGGCCAACCCCTACAATTGTGTATTTACTCGTGCTCCTGCCTCTCTGCATCCCTCTCAACGGCCCAAAACCACGGGTGCGAGGCTGCAGCACTGGGGATGGATGCTCCTGGGTGTTGCTGGATGTGACAACACCCCCCACCCCCCCCCTCACCCCCCAGTTTTCTTTGGGGTTTCAAGGAGCCGAGGCACAGAGGCTCGTTGCTTCATCCCAGAGGCTGGACCTGTGCCATCCCTGGGCTGAATCCTGTCCCCACGGGGCTGGACCCCGTGTCCCCGCAGCCCGGGAGAGGACGGAGCAGGTTTGCAGATGGGAGCGAAGAGCCCTTTGTGGAAAATATGACTGATGAGGGAAAGTTGAAAGAATTTGGTTTGTTTAGTCTAGAAAGGGGGAAGAGCGACGGGGAGGATGTGATAACAGGCTCCAGCTATGCTGATGGGGCACCGGGGACACGGAGCCGTCCTCCCACCCCACGGGCCATGAGCTGTGTCACAGCCAGTGTGGAGGAGGCAGCGGGAGGAGCACGGAGCTGTTCCCAGGCTCGTCTGCGTCAGGGATGTGCCACCACGCTCAGCACCTTTCTGATCGCCGACTCCCTGCTACCAACCCTGTCCCCTCTCTCCTCCCCGGATCCCGTCGCCCAGCTCAGTCGGAGGAAAGCCCTAAAGTGACCCCAGTCCCTGGGTGTCCCTCTCCTTGGAGGTTTCACCACCCGGCAGCACCAAGCCCTGAACAGCCCCGTCTCATCGCACGGCGAGCGGGAAGAGCTGCCAACCTCTTCCCCGCAGGGGGAAACTGAGGCACGGGTGAAACAGGCCACGTGCAGCAATAAATGCAGGGCCCTGGCACCGGGGGGGTGGGGTTGGGTGCTGGCGCAGCACTGTGCCGGGGTTGATAAAGTGATTTGCAGCAAGGAAAGTTTTTTTTTTTTTTCAAGTGGAAAGAGCTGATGCCCCAGGGCTGGATCCCACCGGGGATCCCTGGGAAGCCCCCGCGCCCGCGGGTGCAGCAGACGGCGAGCGAGGAGCTGCCTGGAGGTGGGCAGGGAGAAGAAACCCCCCCCCCCCCCCCCCCCCCCCCCCCCGAAACAAGCAGCCACTTGTTATTTTTAACCAGCCTCTTGGGTTGTCATGACAACGGGCCACTCTGCCGGGGCTGGATGGGCATGGGGGCAGCTCGGCACAGCTCGGCGCACCGGGGTCACCAGAAACCCCGGGCACCCCCTCGCCCGGCACAGCCTCCTCCCACACCGAGCAGCTTCCAGCTGCCTCCTGCAGCCCTGCCACGGATGCTCAGCAGCCCCTCCCAACCACACACCCCACCCCACCCCCCAAAAAAAACCCTCCCCCAGCACGTGCCCACGTGCTTTGAGTTGCAAAACACCTCCCAGCACCCCAAAACGCCGCGGGGAAAGCCCTGACATGGAGGAGACCCCCCGCTCCCAGCGTGGCCAGCGGTTGTTATTTGCGCTCAATAATTTGAGGGAGGTGAGAGCAAGACACGTACGGGAGCTTTATCCCTTCTCCCCCACCCGTACCCTGCAGGATAGGTCCCAGCCGGATGCCAAACCAGGCCCAGGGCATCGGCTGAGCCCGGGGATGCTCCGGCAGCTCACAACCACAGCAGATCCGGCCCCAAATGCCCCCAAATTGCCAACCCCCCCCCCGCCCCGGCCACGATTCAGCCTTCGGGCTCCTCCTTTCATGAACCCCCCCCACACACACACACACTTTGCCTGCGCCGGCCCCCCTCAAGCCACATCCTCTGGTTCATCCTATTAATAGCAGTGCCCTCCGGGAGCCGCACTGCCGGCAATAATAATAATAATAATAATAATAATAATAATAATAATAATAATAATAATAATAATAATAATAATAATAATAATAATAATAATGTTTATTTCTGGACAGAATGTTCCTCCTTTTGCAGCAGGCAGAGGCTGAGGCATGCCGCGTTGCCAAGGTTTTACCGGCCCCGGACTCTCCGTGCCACGGCAATGATTAACGCGGCGGCGGCGCATGCCTGCTGCCGGCCGGGGGGGGGGGGGGGGGATGATGCTCGTGTGCCCCCTCGCCTCCCGCATCCCAGGGCTGGGGGCAGCGAGAGGTTTGGTCGGCTTGGGGATCGGCCGCGTGCCGTGTTTGCGTCCCAGCTAAGGAGCAAAACCTGAGAAAGGCGATGCGGCACCGGGATTTCTCCCGCTGATGTGTGGTCTCCAGCTGGGCATCGCTCGGAGGGCACCCACGCCACTGCCCTGGCACCCAGCCCGGCACGCTCCAGCAACCATGCCCCAAAAAGCACTTTTTTTTTTTTCTTTTTCTTTGCAAAAACCCCGTGTGACACCAGGAGATGTCCCACGCCAGGGGACCGGCCCCAAACCACACACCCCAGAGACCGGGAAAAAAACAGTATCTTTGGACTTTTTGGAGAACAGGCTCCATTTTCCAAACTCTCACAGGCTCAACACTCCTAAAGCCTCCCAAAAAAGTGAATAAATTCCACCCCCCACCCTTCCTATTTAGGCTGGGAGCCGCTGGAGGTCTCCCAGGACCTGACCCAGAGCACCCCAAATTCCCATAGCATCCTCCCACGGAGCTCACACCATTATGGGGCAAAGCAGATGCTTCCAGTGGGATTTTCCCTGCTGCTATCAGCAGCCTCCAGCACACTAGTTTTCAGCTCTGGCTTTTTTTTTTTTTTCTTTTTCCCCCCACCCCAGCCATGGAAAAGCTCCCCAGATCTACGGGTGCGTGTCCAGCCGGTGGGGACATCAGTGGGAGGAAAGGGACTCGGCCAAGCCGTGAAACTCCCTGATTTAGGGAATAAAAACAGTCTCTGAATGCCCCAGGTGGGTATTTCCCAGGAAATATCGAGAACCTGATGGGCCAGGGACCGCTCTCCCCCGACACTGACCCCCACACCCCCTCATTCGCTGCGTGCATGAATGGTGGCCTGTCCTTAAGGCCACGTTCGGGCTCGGGGACGCTGTTTCTCCAGCTTCGTTGGGGCAGAAAATCACCCCAAAGTGTCCCCGGGCTCTGCCCCAGGTGCGAGGCTGGGTGATGGGCATCGTCCGGGGACCGAGCTGGGACCGAGCGGCCGCCCAGCTCCTTCCTCCTGGGAAAGCTCCGCTGGCTGCTGCTGAGCCTAAAAGCTGGGCTCCTGCCACTCTTCTGCTAAAAATGGCCATTTTTAGCCATTTCTGCAATTCAGAGGGAAATCAGCCCAAGCCAGGCCACCAGGCAGGGTGGATGGGGGAGCTCGCAGTCCTCCGTGCCTCAGTTTCCCCAGCAGCCCAACCGCAGCCCACGCGGCCACACACCCCGGGTGGCTCTCGGGGACGGCTCCGTGCTTGCGGGGCCGGGTCTGTGGCCCCGCGTCCCAGCACGGGCGGGTGCTCCTGCACACCCCAGCACCCCACTCCCCATGGGGGGGTCGATCCCCGGTTACGTTTTGGGGAGTCCCCCGCACCCAGAAAACGCCACGATCAGCCCGCAGGGTGGGGATCAAACCCGGCTTTAGGGTCGGGGCATAGGGAGGGGGGACGGTAACTCATAGAAACGCCAAGCGGGGGATGATTTGCCCGTCACCTCCCACCACCCCGGGGGGACCCCACGTCCCCTCGCCGGTCGGTCCCATACCTGTCTCAGCAGCGCGCCCTCGTCCAGGGTGTCCTGCCGCTGCTGGGCGACGGTGACACCGAGCACCAGCGTGTGAACGCCGCAGGAGACGGCGGTGATGAGCACGATGGGCGCCAAGCGCAGCGGCAGCGTGATGAAGAAGGAGAAGACGAAGAACGCCTGCCAGCCCACCGTGTCGCTGGCTTCGGGCGAGCGGGAGAAGTTGAGACCCAGGTAGCAGAAGATCTGGGCCAAGATGAGGACCCAGAGGACGTAGGGCAGGAACCTGCGGGCCACCCGCTCAGGGAGCAGCTTGTACTTGCAAAGGATGAAGAGCAAGACGTGGGCGACCAGCCCGGTCGCTGCCGCCAGCGCCGGGGCCAGCTTGTCGGCGGCGTAAACCACGGCGCACATGACGAGGACGTAGCAGTCGAAGAGAGCGGCGAAGACCACCAGCACCAGGAGGGTCTCGTGGCGTTGGCGACGGAAATAAGTCTGGTAGAGGTTCTCCAAGGATTCGGGAGCGAAGGTGAGGCGCATGAAGCGGGGTAGGCAGAGGCAGGGTCCCGAGCTGCGCACCGTCACCTCGTGGGTCCGACCCACGCCGTGCTCGGGGTCCGACGGCAGGCTCACCGAGTAGTCGGCGGAGTACTCGGCCGAGCACTCGGGCTCCGAAAAAGCCCTGTTTCTGGGCATCGTGGTGCTCTCCCCTACGCCGAGCCCGCAGGAACGCCGCGGTCCCCCCGCGCCCCGATGCTCACCGGGGCATCGCCCGCAGCATCGCCGGCCGCCGAGCCGCGAGGCCTTTCCCCTTCTCCCGCAGCCGTAACCCCGAATCCCGCGGCGTGCCGGGGAGCGGCCGAAGGAGGGAAAAGGGGGGCTAATTATAAATAACCGCTGGCGTGGCGTGGCGTGGGGAGGCCGGGAGCCGAGCGAGCCTGCCTCCCCAGCTCCCTGCCAGCTCGCTCTCCCCAGCCCTTGCGCACTGCCAGGTTGCAAACCGAAGCGACGCGGAGCGAAAAAAAAAGATGTCGCGATGCCTCCCCGCTCCTCCTTCGAGGGCAACCGCTTTGGTGGGGGTGGGGGGGTGGGGGGGGATCCCCACTGCTTCCTCCCGGTTGTTTCCCCCACCCCCCCACCCCCCCCCGGCTTTTGCCGAGCTGCTCCGTTGCACGGGGAGGGATGGAGAAGGGCCGGGGTGGGGGGACCGGCCCCGGAGCCCACCGGCTGCCGCAGCCCGGGGAGCGCAGGTGCGGCCCCGCCAGCAGCATCCCCCGCCGCCCGCCTCCCCCCCCCCCCCCCCCCCGCTCCCCTACGCCCGGGGCCGCCCTGCCCCACCGCCCGCTCCGGTTCCGCGGGGCCCGGGGCGAAGCGGCGGCGGAGGCGGCTCCGGCCGCGGGGGCATGGTACCGGCTTCTTGCGGGGGATGGACAGACGGACGGATGGATGGATGGATGAAGGGGGGGGGGGGGGGGGGGGGGGGAAGGACGGGCTGGGCTTCCCCGGGGCTGGGGGCGGGCACCCACCGCCGGTTGTGCCGGTACCGGTGCGTCTCCGCCTCCCGTAACCCTCTCGGTGCCGGTTGCCGGGGTGGGTTGAGACTCCCCCCCCCCCGCTCCAACTCGCAGCCTCCAACTGCTTTCCTGCCGCCCGTGCCATCCTCCTCCTTCTCCTCCTCCCCTCAGCCGGCAGATCCCACAGGTCTCAAACCAACTCGCTGGGTGCTGGGCACCCCAACCCCCAGGGGGTGAACCCCCCATAGAACCCACGGCGCTCTCCGGGGTCACAGCCACCCTCCTACAACCCCACAGGGGAGCAGAGACACCCAAAGCTTCCCCCCTTCGCCTACGCTGCCCAAATCACCCCCCCACCAAACCCACCGATACCCCACCGAAACCTCTTCGGGAAGTTCCCCCTCCTCTTCCCCGTGTTTCAGCCGCCGCCTGCTCCCCTTTTGCACCCCAAGATCTGGAAAACTGGCTGCAGTCACCCCGCACGGCAGCTCTAACGAGAGGCCATGGCAGCTGCTTTGCTTCTGGGAAGGAATTCGTATAAAAATAAAAGCACCGGAGCCGCAGCTCCTCGGAGGTTGCGGGTATGTTCGGCGTTATTCCAGCCCTGCTGCAGGGGGGCAAGCAGGTGCCTCGGCCAGCCCGGGGACAGGGCCATGAGCCCTGGCCACCAGCTCTGGGACACGTCCTGCCAGGTTGGCCACCGGCAGGGGCACCCTGGATGGGAGGTTTAACTGGTCGGAAGACCAGCAAAACCAGTCTGAAGGGCAGCATGGGGACCCAGCAGTGGTTCAAGAGGCAGGGTGGGTGTAGCCTTGTCTCAGGGGAGGGTTTGTTACAGGGTGGATGAGCCCGGAGCTCCAGCAAGGAGCAGACTGTGGCTGCCGGGCACGGGGCCAGACCAGAAATCCCCACCGAGCGTGGGGAGGCAGGCAGGGAGGGAGGGCAGCGCCTCTGGGCACCTGGAGGGAGGCTTTCCATTCCCTGACATCTCCAGAGGTGGCTCCTGGCTGCGTTTCTGGATGCCGAAGGGCAAAGTCCCTTCGTTTGGGATTGGAATCCCGGCGCCTTCGTTGCACGATGGATGCTTCAGCAGCCGGACTCGCTCTTCGCACGAGGCAGGACGAGGGACTCACAGGCCAGAAACACAGCCTGGATGGTGGGCAGCCGTGCTGGAGGGATCCGGAGTTGGGAGTCCTGGTGGAGATGGGACGGAGGAAGCACGCTACCAGGGCTGTTGGTGCGGAGGTGTGTGTGCAGGGAGCAAGGACGGAGCTCCTGCTCCGGCTCCCCTGACACACCCAGGCTCCACGGCACTCGGGGGTACCCCACATCACATCCCCGCTGCCCCGTTCCCTGGCTCCCTTACCCAGCTCCCACTCCTGCAGAGTTGATTCACAACCTCCATCAATCACCCTCGAGGGCTAGCTCTTCCCCACCGGCCTCGGCCAGACCCGGCTGGGGAGGAGAGAAATGAGTCAAAGGGCAATTAAACATTAACAGCAGGCAGTCGCCGCGGGTGGACAGCTCACAGGGCTTCCTTTGTTCCAAAGTGGGGTTTAATTTATAAAAATAACACAACTTAGAAGGTCACCGGCATCGCTAGATGTGACATGCGTGGGTAATCATCTCCAAACATCCGGTCAGCTCGGTGAACAGACGGGAGAAACCCCAAAACCGGTGGCCAGTCACCTGAAGAGCAAACAGGAGGGACCGCGCGTGGCACAGCAGACCTGGAGAGCCCCTGAGCAGCAGGAAGCCTTCAAACCACTCCAGGCACTGAGATCTCACCCTCAAAGCGAAGTGCACCATTCAGCAACAGAATTATTTACCCTCCTCAATGAGAAAACAAAACAAAACAACCCACCAAAACCACAGAGGAATAGTTTTGAAGCCAGAATTAAGTGGTTTCCTCCATTAGACAAGTGGGGAGGTTTCCAGTGAACTCCACAGCGTTATAAAATGTGTGGAGTAAGACCCCATCAGTGCAACTTGCCACAGCTCCAATGCCTGACCTGCTGATCTCCCCCAGCCCAGCTTTTTATATGTCTGGGAGAAGAAAAAGGGAGCCATTTTAAATATTAACCTCTTGTAGCAGCATCTCCCCTTGGATATATCTACATCAGAGGAGCAAAAAGTGCTTCCCAGCAGGACAGCTTATTTCTTCCCAGCAACACAGCACCAAAAAACAGAGCAAGAACAAAATGACACTGGCTTTAAAGTCCCTTAATGCTTGCTGCCAAAAAGGGGGAGGAGCGGGGGGTGGAATCTACTGTTGGTTTATGATGTATTTTGAAGGGGAAACACAGAAAAGCTGCCTTGAAGTAAAAAAAAAAAAAAAAAAAAAAAAATATTGCACTGACCATAGGAGAAACCATGTTTGAACAGAATACCTGGAGGGTGGGGTAGGGACACACATGCACACACTCCGTGGCTTTCTTTTCATAGCTGAGTGTCCTGACCTCCCCTGCCAATCTCATAGAGCAGCAAGGAAACAGAACTGGGTCCTGACAAAACCATGGGAGCCCAAGGAATCTCCTGTTTGGTCTTCCCCAAGAGCCTGGCAACCATCACAGCTCTGACCCTCCCTTGGGATCACAACGGCCAGATCTTAAGCCTCTGCAAGCACTTGTTGGGGTGACCAGCAACACTCCCCTCTAAATTAACAAGACTATCGGAAAAAAAAAAAAAAAACAGCAGCTGTGACTAGGGGGGAGCAACCTGCACCCACCTGCTGATCAGCAACCCGTAACTGCTGCTGTGAGGAAAGAAGGGCTGGGGGAGAACATGCCCCCTCTGCCACTCACCGAACCCGTGCGCGTGGGCAGATCGCAGGCACCCACGCAGCTCTGTGGAGTGGGTGAAGCTCGGGAGATGAGGCTGGCCGAGGGGAGGAAGGGCAGAGCTGACAGGCGGGCTGAACTGCCTCCTCCTTGGGTCAGCACCTTCCTCCTGCCTGTAAATATCCAGGGCCACCAGCACCCAAGGACTGTACCCCACGGGGGACAGCGGCACCCACCCCAGAGCTCGCCAGCGCGGCGGGAGCAGAGGGCTGGGAGAAAGGGAGAACGTGCAGCCTTAGGGGTTCTTCCCAATGAGTTGAGCTCAGGGAGATGGAAGGAGGTGGTGGTAGGAGACTCCGTGCTGTGATGAGGAGGTGGGTGCCTGGGGAGAGCCCTAGTCCTGCCAAAGGGATGCTTCTTGGCACCAGGACAGCTTGGGGAGGAAGGGGAAAAAAACTCGGAACCAGTTTCTCCCTGTGGTACCAGAGAGGTTTCCTCAAGCAACACCTCCTTCTCCTTCCGGACAAAAAAAAGCATCGTTGGGTGTCAGCTGGAAGGAGCCAGCTTTGACCAGGGAGTTGACCCGCCCCGGTGCTTGGCAGTGCCCCCGCAGCTTTCAGCACGGGTTCCAAGGAAACCCAGATGGACTGCCAACCCCTTGTCCCTCCTGGGCATCCTCCACCCACACCACCACCGCTTGCAGGAGCAGTAGCCTTCGGGTCAGACCTCGCTCTGCCCTCGCTGCATCCACACCTTAGAGCCACGCATCCAAACCCCTCCAGAGCTGGGAGGTGTAACGCAGGAGGGGACCTCACTGCCTTCAGCCTTTACACCAACCACGACCTGGGGCCACAGATTGCAGGGAGGGCTCTGGGGTCCCTCTCCCCTCCTCAGCAGCACATCGCAATCACGCTACGGTGGGATGCTGTCCTGCTCCCACAGCCAGTGCTGGGAGCGTCTGTGTCCACGCCAGCGGTAAACAGGAGGAGGAGAGGGGTGCCCCAGGGCTGTACGGCTGCCGGGGAGCTAGCTGGGAAGAGGGGAAGGTTTCCAGCTCTGAATGGCTCTGTTCCCTACTTGATGTTTTTGAGAAGCGCCGTCCGGGCGTTCACCACTGCTTTGAAGGCATCCTCGCTGCCGGGAGCCACACACTTATCGGGGTGGAGCAGCACAGCCAGCTTCCGATAGGCTTTGTTCACTTCATCCCTAGGAGACAAGACAAGAGTGAGGGGACCCACACGACACACAGCCCGGCTCAGCTTTGCCCCAGCTGGCTGAGCACAGCAGGCCCAGGAGCTCCCCGCTGCGCAGACACTTTTGAACCCTTCCCTCGCTGGCACTAAGGTCCTCCAGGTTTTGGAGGTGATGTTGTGGAGAAAGAGCTGCGGGAAAATCCCACAGGGCACTTCTTGGTGCGATGAACCCCGCTCCTGGGGCAGGTACACCCTCTCCACCACGGGCCTGGGCCAGCACGAATGGTCCCACTGTGGCAGACACGTGCCTGCGACACGTGCCTTGGTGTGCTGAGTCTCTGGCACCACGAGAGCAGAAAGCTGGGAGACAGCGTGGGGGCACACGCACCCTGACTCAGCTTCGCATGAAACCACCTACGCACTCCGGGCGAAGGCACCGCACGTCACTTCAGCCCTTTAAGCCTTGGGTGTCTGGTCCGAGGCAGACATCTCGGCTCCAGCCGCACGTCGTGGAGCGAGTGGGGCACCTGCTGAGGAAGGGGAGTCCTCCCATGCTGGTGATCACAGCACAAACTGGCCTGCAGAGCTGCTGATCTCTCCCCATGGATGAGAGGGGGCTGGAAGGAGGGGTTAGGCTCAACAGAGAGCCAACAGGAGGATGTACAAGTCCCAAATGATCTGTGTTATCCAAAAATCTACTCTCCAACCCCTCCGTAAGGAGTACACAAGGGTAGTCCCTGTGTTTCAGAGAGAAGAAAGCATGGCACGGTTCTGGGAGCTTGTTTTAGCTGCCCAAGTCATACAACAGAACTGGAGATTCAATATCCAACCTCTTACACAGGTAATGACCAATTCCACCTGGCTAGAGGTCCTCCGAGGAAGACAAGAGAAAGCTTGTCTTGTGGGAGTACAGTATCCATGCGGAAGAGCTGTAACATCAGTCCCTTCTTGATAACGTGGGCAGCAGCCTTACAGAAGCCTGAAAAGCTTCTCCAGGCTTGGAGAGCAAGGAACGTAAAGCTGGAGCTGCTCCAAACACATGTGGCAAGTGTGTGACCAGAGACAGCTCAGCCTGGAGGCAGGATGCAAGGCCGGGCAGCTGGCAGGGCTGAAGTTCTCATGTTCATCATTCCCGCCTTGCCTCTGGCCTGGTTTGTCTGTTCAAAGGGGAAATTTGGTGCTCAGGACCGAGGGTTTCTTTTGTAATGCCTCAATTTTGTTGCTTGATACTTGTGCCCAGCTGCTATATAAACCAAGGTGAGCTTATCAGCAGGCAGGTCACTGAAAGATCACGGATGCAACCAGCCTGCCAGGTCAGAAATTACAGCCAGCCAGGCAAATGCTCATGTCCCCCCTCACCTTGTGGCTCCGGGTTTGACTCCCAGCATGTCCCAACTGTCCTTGCTGTTGCGGATCCTGCGAATGGCATCCGCCTGCTCTTTGGTGAAGCTGACCCCCATGCTGGAAGGAGGGCGCTTCCCGCCGTTGTCACACAGGTCGATGATGGCAGAGTAAAATGTCTGCAGACACAGGGAGGAGTTAGCAGGAACGGTCCCCAAAGGTGGTGGCAGTGCTTAAGGAGACCCCACTGCCCTTTTTGGCAGCGGGCTCACCCTCCAAAGGATCGAGGAGCGTTTGGACAACTGCTGAATGTTCACTCCCCACTGCCTGGGCTATGGAGGGCTGGGATGCCCCAGGTCAGGAGGGATCCAGTCCCTGCAGGGACCACGGGACAGACTGAGGAAGAGGCAAGGCCCCACGTTTATCTCAAACCCCCTTCAGTTCAGTGCCAGACCTGAAAAGGTGACATGGGCACCTCTGCATCGTGTTCCCAGTGCAGCAAGAGAGATCATCAGCTCTGAGCAACGCAATGCTAGGGCCAGCTCAGGACATGGAGGACCAATACTGATCCTGAGCTGATCAGCTACAGCTTTCTCAGGGCCACATTTCACTGGCAAGACACCTCTAAGGCAGAGGGCCAGCAGGTTTTGTGTAATCCAGGCAGTTCAGGAGACATTCTGCCATTGCATCCTGGCTCACTGTGGTGTCTCTGCCCTCACCACCTTCATTACACCTCACCTGAAACATCTCGTTGATTCCTTCTCCTGTTTGTGCCGATGTCTCAAAGTAAAGAAAGCCCCGGCTCTCTGCCCAGAGCCGCCCCTCGCTTTCATCCACGCTGCGGTGCTTGGTGCAGTCGATCTAGACCGGGAGAAAAGGCAGAGATCAGAGCCCAGCCAAGGTCTGCAGCAGCAGCTGGAGGAACACAGCTCCAAGGCTGATCGTCTAACAGAGGGAAAGGGACATATCTGGCTGGAGAGGCTGTTTGCTTACCCTGAAGGGATGGAGGCAGTGTGGAAAGAAAGCACAGAAAACTCAAGTGAAAAGGCCTCTCAGAGTTTATCTAGCCCAGAGACTCTGTCACCTCTACTTGATCCCTTCCTGACCTGATGTGTGGCCACCACAGTCTCAAAACCCTGTTGAGATGCGGTCTTCAGTGTTCCTCACGCATACATCTGGCTCTTAGAAAGTCTTCCCTACAACCTAGTAATATTTCCCTTGCTGCAGCTGGAGCTCAACAGCCTGGGCTCGAGCTGGGAAGACAACAAGCCCTGAGGGCCAGAGATCAGGACCACACCACAGCCTGGCTCCCCATCACAGCCCACCTTGTTCGCACAGACCACGAAGACCATGTTCTCCATGTTCCCATGGGGCCCCAGCTCCTGCTTCATCTCAGCCAGCCACGCGTCCAGCGCGTCGAAAGATTCCTTTTGCCCGACGTCGTAGACCAGGATGACCCCCTGTGTGTCCTTGTAAAACTCGTTCCTCACCTGCAGGGACAAAGGCAGGACACTGGGATCAGCGACAGCCAGGCTGAGAGCACATGGCCCAGCAGATCTGGGGGATCACCATTTACCTGGCACCTATTAGATTCTGTGATAAAAGTCTTATCTCCACACAAACAGAAGATTACAGAAAAAGGACAGATGGGGGGAACCCAAATAATACCCTCACCGTGCTGCCAGACAAGAGCTACCAGCCCATAAAATACTCCCCACCACACAAAAGAGCACAGATGCACAAGGGCAGACAAGGTGTCAGACCAACTCCTGGGGAGACTGGAAGGTCTGGGAGTCAACTGAGACACGTGTGTGTGTCCCTGTGCGTGAGGCAGCAGGGGAGGGCAAGGATCCAGTGCCAGCCACTGGACAGACTGCATGTCTAAGCCCAGCTGCTGGAGGGATCTGCAGGATGTCTGCCTGTGCGTGTGGGTGTGCATCAGGGGGTCTGTACCAGCAGCTGGAGTGGGGCTGCAGCCTCTGGAGCCTGTATGCCCAGTGCCAGCAACTGGGGAGACCAAGGAACCCCAGGACAGCTGCTGAATGAGGGTCTAAGGTCAGCTACAGGACAGCCATTGGAACAGAACAGACTATTTCAGCTGGAAGGAGCCTACAAGGATCATCTAGTCCAACTGCCTGACCACTTCAGGGCTGACCAAAAACTAAAGTGTGTTATTAAGCACATTGTCCAAATGCCTCTTAAGCACTGACAGGCTTGGGGCATCACCCACCTCTCCAGGCAGCCCGTTCCAGGGTTTGACCACCCTCTCGGTAAAGAAATGCTTCCTCATGCCCAGTCTAAACCTCTCTTGGTGCAACTTTGAACCATTCCCAAGAGTCCTGTTCCTGGAGACCAGGAAGAAGAGTTCAGCACCTCCCTCTCCTCAGGAAGCTGCAGACAGCAAGGAGGTCGCCTCTTGGCCTCCCCTTCTCCAAACTAGACCAACCCAGAGTCCTCAGCCGCTCCTCGCAGGACGTGTCTTCCAGCCCTTCACCAGCTTGGTCGCTCTCCTCTGGATACATTCAAGGACATTCACATCCTTCTTAAATTGTGGACACAGGGCTCCCGGTGAGGCCGCACCAACGCTGAGCACAGCAGGACAACCCCCTCTGTGGGCTGGGTGGCCGTGCCGTGTTGGATGCACCCCGGGACATGGTTTGCCCTCTCAGCTACCAGGGCACCTACTGAGCCGCTGCCAACCAGCACCCCCCAAATCCCTTTCTGCAGGGCTGCTCCCCAGCCACTCCTCTCCCAGTTTAGACTTGTGCCCGGTGGTGGTTTTTTGGTTTTATTTTTCCCTGTTCACTTATATTTTAGCATAAAACCAATTATACATCAGAGACATACTACACATTCACAAGTATTAAATGCTGAAAATACAAAACCAAACAAAGCAGCAGCAGTTTACTGTCATGTTGCTCTTCAATAAATATTTGCCACGTATTTATTCACCAAACCAACAGTTTAAGCCCAATACATTTTCCAGGGAATCTGAGGCTTTCTCTTCTCCATTGGATTGGCTGTGGAATAGCCAGAAAGTCAATACATGTGAGCAGCTCATACATCTGCAAGTGATAACTGTGCTACCAAGACCTCTACTGACCATATCTGCATGAGATGAGAATCTTTACAGTCTTCTGTCCCTCAATTTCTTTATGCTGTCAGCTCTGTCCCACAAACTCCCTGCTTCCTGCTGTATTCCAGACTATTCCTAATTAATTACATCTCACTGGTTACTTGTACTGTATCAGGACTTGCAAACTCAAGTGAAGACTCGTAGTTCTACACACAACATAGAAATCCTTGTTGTGCCCAAAACTTCAGAGCGTGCAACAAGCAAATGCTGAGAACACAGGGAAGGAATGGGAGGCTTATGAGCAACCAGATCAATAACAGCCACTAGCCAGGCAGCCACCCGGCCAGTATAAGCCACTACATTCCTCATTGTTGTCTCACCCTTTTGCCCTCACTCATTTTCACTTTTTTATGTCACCTTAGTATTTATGTCACAAACTGCTTTTTCCTGACATTCTATTTTTATTAGTCACAGGACGACGCTTTGCCGAGCATCAACAGTATCTTTATAATTAAGACTCAGTATGCATCACACTGTTAAAACAATAGGATTATACTGGATAAACATTTAATGCTTGTTTCTTCCACTTGTGGGCTCACTTTATTACTTTGCTTATAATTTAAAATAAATGTGATTAGCAGTGAGCACAACCACTCCTTTGTAACAGCTCTCCAAAATGGATGTTGTAGTCTATGTGTTCAAAACCTAAAGTTTTATCCTGCAAGCTCCTTTTTGTAAATAGCATTGTTTAATATTTGTATAGTAAGTAATTTTAGAATGGAATGGAGTATTTCAGTTGGAACAGACCTACAACAATCATCTAGTCCAACCACAAGTGTTTTGCGGCACTTTAGTCATGGATTAGGATGCCAGTATGCCACAAGTGCCCAAGGTGAACTCGCAAAATCTCCCAATGTGAGTAAATTTAATCTCAAAACGGACAGATTCATAAGCACAAGGAGGCCACTTTGAAATAGGGCTAGCAACATGAGTGGTAGCTTGTAAAAGCCAAACCTTACACTCGTGGTTTATAAGAAAGTTTTTGGGTTATTCTTTCTATCAGAGTTGTTTGTGGATTTATAGGTTCCAGTCTTAATAACTTTATTTTCCTTCTCCTGATCAGCCAGAGATCAAGATGAGGCCACTGGTGCTGCCTGTGCCAGCACTGGCTGTTTCTGTCTGTGTTGATCTGCGCAGCCAGCCATGTATATACGTGTATCTGTCTTGTCTAGGTGTGCCCGTGTGTGCCTCCTGGGGACACATACTCAATCTCGCTACTGCTTGGACCTCGGAATACGGAGCTGTGGCAGCCTCACCACTGTCAGACTCCTGAATTTGGCAACCCCAAGCAGCAGGGAGTCACTGCTGACAGAGAGGCAGCGGGGATTTCCAGTGCTAGCCTCCATTAAATGTCCGTAGCAGGAAAGAAAAGGGTATATTGTAGCAGATGAAGCTCCTAAGAAATAGATCTTCAAGCTTCCCACCCCCAAACCCAATTTCAGGCAGATGTGAGGAAAGCTGATGAGTGCTGAATGCCTCTGAGATGGGCAGCTCTTTAGTGTGCTGCCTGGAGCCAGGTCTGCCTTACCTCATAGAAGAACGGGTGCCCCGCCATGTCAAAGATGTTCACCTTGATCTCTCGGTCTCTGACTTGCACTCTGAAAGAGAAGTGGGAAATGCTTGAGGAGGCTCCAGCTCAGCCCTTGCACAGGCTGTGCCCTGCAGGAACACCCCTCATCTCTGCCAACCCTCTGCAGAGAAAGAGCTGGGTGATCAGGGAGAGAAAAATCAGTAAGCTGTTTAATAGCCAGAAAACTGCCCCTAGAGCCGGGCAGACACAGAGGACAGCACCAGCTCTGGAAGTAACATGACAATGGGGAGCTACGCTACCACAGGAAGGCAGATTATTATCTTCTTATTAAAGCAGAAATGTAGATTACGCTGTGGAAACAAGCACGCCTGGCTCAGGTCAGCATGGTCACTCAGGAGCAGCGGGAGGTGGGCCAGCCCCACTGCACCTCTTCCCTCTGCCCCTGGGGAGACCAGTGCCCCCCCGAGACACCTCGCCCAGGCCCTGGCAGACCCACGCCTGCCTCTGCAACCATGGGGCTCATCCCACTCTCCCGGCTCTTGCAGCTCCTCCCTGCAAAGGTACTTACTTTGTGACGCCGTAGTCGATACCGATAGTCGCCAGGTATTTGGGAACAAACCTCTTCTCACAGTAACGCTTTATAATGCAGCTCTGGGAGAAAGGAAAAGGGAGTTTTACCAGGATGGCACCATACACCATAACATTCACATTAATGGGGAATTTGGCGACACCCCCAGCCAGCTTGATTGCTGCAGAGACATCAACGCTGCCCTAAGTCCCTAAACTAACTAAAGCATCGATCTTTACCAGGAGCAGTTTTCTTTCTGCAAAAAAAGAAGGAAAAGCCACCGGGTGTCAGTTATTCCTTACCTGTTTTGAGACTGGAGTGACAAGAAACTCTGATTTATTCCCCTACAGAAAGCATCCAGCCTGGAAGAGCTGCCTGTTCAGGGGCCCAGAGGCAGTCACCTCCCCAGATGCCACGAAGAACATTTTAGCAGCCCAAGCAGGGAGCACGAGAAGCACATTCAGGGTCACACCAGGTCCCTCCAGCCCCGGTTCTGCCCCTGACTGGCAAAGATACTCCTTAGGGAGAGCAGAGGAGTTGGCTGCTATCAGCCACCAAGAGATAAATCCCATAAGGTTAAATTTTACTGGCCACTTCTTTGCCTGCTTACTCTGTGCTGCAAGATCCTTCTAGATTTTCCTGCCCTCAGCGAGGCATTTGTCTGCCCCAAGGGAGTCATCCTGCTGTCACCAGTTTATTTACATTTATTTAGCAAACAAAAAAGGGGCAGCACTTCAGAAGAGAACCTGACCAGGAGATGAAATAATACCCCGGAGAAAAAATAACATCCCAGAGAACAGCTGGGTCATTCACGGCAGCAGAAGGCAGAGGGGCTCCTGAGGAAACGCCAAAACCAAACTGGAGAGGGCTGGGATTCCCCCAGCAACCCCCCGAGGAAGGCAACACGGGCTGGATTCACACTTTCTGCCCTCAGGCGCTGCGGTGCCTGTGGCCCGAGCACGGTCGCCCAGTGAAGGAAACGGGCGTTCCTCAGCAGCCGGATCACTCAGGGACACACCCCACGGAGAGGAGGAGAAGGCTCTGGGGCGCGGTGGGGCAGCCCTTGCCCACGGCCCACCCGTGGCGGGGGGGGGAGATGCCCGGTGAGCCCCACTCCGGGGCTGTGGGCACGGAGGAGGCCCCAGGCGCCGCCATGACACCCGCTGCGCAGGGAAGCAGATGGCTCCGCCCCCTCGAGTAGGACCCGCCCCCCTTTAACACCACAGCCAATAAAACCCGGCATCGCGGCCCCGCCCACCCACCCCCCCAAGCTGTCAATCCTCCGCTCTCCCCAACCTCCCGCCTCGCCGCCGCTGGCGCGGCGTTGCCCCTGATTGGCTCCCGCCAACCAATCGGCGGCCTCTCCAGCGGCGCGGCCGCCGACACCCTGCTCCCCATTGGTTAGCCGGCCTGCCCGCCACCGCCCGCCCGCCAATCGAAGCGCCTCACCTTGCCCACCTCCGCGTTGCCCATGGAGATGACTTTAATCCTCAGCGATTTGCGCGTCTCCTTCCGCTTCGGCGGATTCGCCTCCATGGCGGGGTGGGGCGGGCCCGGTTGAGGCGGCGGAAGGGAGGAAGGAAGGAAGGAAGGAGGGAAGGAAGGAAGGAGGGAAGGAAGGAAGGAGGGAAGGAAAGAGGGAGGGAGCGCGGCGGGCCCGGGGCCGCCGCACCGCCCCGCGGCTCCGCTCGCGCGAGACTTCCTGCGCTAGCCCGGAAGTTGTCGCGAGATTCGACGAGAACGTCGGCGCGCGCCGCTCTGGCAGGGGCCTTTACCGTCCAGCAGGGGGCGGCAGAGAGGCGCGGGGGGTGGGGGGTGGGGGGTGGTTGTCGGGGGGTGCCGGGGAGGGGACGGGCCCGGGTCTGCTGCCTGCACCGCCTGCCTGCACCGCCTGCCTGCACCTCCTGCCCCTCCTGCCCTGCCTGCACCTCCTGCCCTGCCTGCACCGCCCTGCCTGCACCTCCTGCCCCTCCTGCCCTGCCTGCACCTCCTGCCCTGCCTGCACCGCCTGCCTGCACCGCCTGCCCCTCCTGCCCTGCCTGCACCGCCTGCCTGCACCTCCTGCCTGCACCGCCTGCCTGCACCTCCTGCCCCTCCTGCCCTGCCTGCACCTCCTACCCTGCCTGCACCGCCTGCCTGCACCTCCTGCACCTCCTGCCTTGCCTGCACCTCCTGCCCTGCCTGCACCGCCTGCCTGCACCTCCTGCACCTCCTGCCCTGCCTGCACCGCCTGCCCTGCCTGCACCGCCTGCCTGCACCTCCTGCACCGCCTGCACCTCCTGCCCTGCCTGCACCGCCTGCCTGCACCGCCTGCACCGCCCTGCCTGCACCTCCTGCCCTGCCTGCACCGCCTGCCTGCACCGCCTGCACCGCCTGCACCTCCTGCACCTCCTGCACCTCCTGCACCGCCCTGCCTGCACCTCCTGCCCCTCCTGCCCTGCCTGCACCGCCCTGCCTGCACCTCCTGCCCTGCCTGCACCGCCCTGCCTGCACCTCCTGCCCTGCCTGCACCTCCTGCACCTCCTGCCCTGCCTGCACCGCCCTGCCTGCACCGCCTGCACCGCCCTGCCTGCACCGCCCTGCCTGCACCGCCTGCCTGCACCGCCTGCACCGCCTGCACCTCCTGCACCGCCCTGCCTGCACCTCCTGCACCGCCCTGCCTGCACCTCCTGCCCCTCCTGCCCTGCCTGCACCTCCTGCACCGCCTGCACCTCCTGCCCTGCCTGCACCGCCCTGCCTGCACCTCCTGCCCTGCCTGCACCTCCTGCCCTGCCTGCACCGCCTGCCTGCACCGCCTGCACCGCCCTGCCTGCACCTCCTGCCCTGCCTGCACCGCCTGCCTGCACCGCCTGCACCTCCTGCACCTCCTGCACCGCCCTGCCTGCACCTCCTGCCCCTCCTGCCCTGCCTGCACCGCCCTGCCTGCACCTCCTGCCCTGCCTGCACCGCCCTGCCTGCACCTCCTGCCCTGCCTGCACCTCCTGCACCTCCTGCCCTGCCTGCACCGCCCTGCCTGCACCGCCTGCACCGCCCTGCCTGCACCGCCCTGCCTGCACCGCCTGCCTGCACCGCCTGCCTGCACCGCCTGCACCGCCTGCACCTCCTGCACCGCCCTGCCTGCACCTCCTGCACCGCCCTGCCTGCACCTCCTGCCCCTCCTGCCCTGCCTGCACCTCCTGCACCGCCTGCACCTCCTGCCCTGCCTGCACCGCCCTGCCTGCACCTCCTGCCCTGCCTGCACCTCCTGCCCTGCCTGCACCGCCTGCCTGCACCGCCTGCACCGCCTGCACCTCCTGCCCTGCCTGCACCGCCTGCCTGCACCTCCTGCACCTCCTGCCCTGCCTGCACCTCCTGCACCTCCTGCCCTGCCTGCACGGCCTGCGCCTCCTGCACCTCCTGCCCTGCCTGCACCGCCCTGCCTGCACCTCCTGCCCTGCCTGCACTGCCCTGCCTGCACCTCCTGCCCCTCCTGCCCTGCCTGCACCGCCCTGCCTGCACCTCCTGCACCTCCTGCCTTGCCTGCACCGCCCTGCCTGCACCTCCTGCCCTGCCTGCACCTCCTGCACCTCCTGCCCTGCCTGCACCTCCTGCACCGCCTGCACCTCCTGCCCTGCCTGCACCGCCCTGCCTGCACCTCCTGCCCTGCCTGCACCGCCCTGCCTGCACCTCCTGCCCCTCCTGCCCTGCCTGCACCTCCTGCCCTGCCTGCACCGCCCTGCCTGCACCTCCTGCACCTCCTGCCTTGCCTGCACCGCCCTGCCTGCACCTCCTGCCCTGCCTGCACCGCCTGCCTGCACCGCCTGCACCGCCTGCACCTCCTGCCCTGCCTGCACCTCCTGCCCTGCCTGCACCTCCTGCACCTCCTGCCCTGCCTGTACCGCCTGCACCTCCTGCACCGCCTGCACCTCCTGCCCTGCCTGCACCGCCTGCACCGCCCTGCCTGCACCTCCTGCACCTCCTGCCCTGCCTGCACCGCCTGCACCTCCTGCCCTGCCTGCACCTCCTGCCCTGCCTGCACCGCCCTGCCTGCACCGCGTGCACCTCCTGCCCTGCCTGCACAGCCTGCACCACCCTGCCTGCACCGCCTGCACCTCCTGCCCTGCCTGCACCTCCTGCCCTGCCTGCACCGCCTGCACCTCCTGCCCTGCCTGCACAGCCTGCACCACCCTGCCTGCACTGCCTGAACTGCCTGCACCGCCCTGCCTGCTCAGCCCTGCCATGCACCACCCTGCCCTCCCTGCTCGCCCTGCCCCGAGGGTTGGCAGTGAGGTGCCGTAGCGCAGGCTCAGGCCCGGGGTCCCCTCCCTGCCTTGGGGTGCAGGGGGAGAGCGACAGCCCGCTCGCCCCTGCCAGGGCCTGCCCTCTGCCCCTGCCTTCAGCACGACATCCTCTGCCCTGTCCCAGCACCTTCAGGGGCTCCAAACCACACACACCCCCCACCACAACCATCAGATTGTCCTGCACGGGCACGGGTGCTCCCGGGCCGCCCCGCTGTCCTTGTGGGCTGAGCTGGGAGGGTTTGAGCAGCCCTGGAGATCTCCTGGTAGAGTGGTTGGGGGGGGTGAGGGGGGGGTGTTACATCTCCTGTCCCCCATATCTTGCTGCATGGCCATGGTGGGCTTTCCTGCAGGATTGAGAACGGGCCGGGCTGGGGAGGTTGGGCGGGTTGAAGCTCGCAGCCTTTCTGGGTGGGGTGTTCGGATGGAAGATACTGGTTTGCTCTCGGTGAGGAGCTGTTGGGGTCAGTGTTGAATCGGTTCTCGAAGGCGGGGGTAGAGATCAGCCCTCCTTGAGGATGGACCCCTCATGAAACAGGTTCTTTTATTCTTCAGGGGACGACATTACCAGTTGCTGAGGTTGGTGGCCTTAGGTGACGCCGGAGCTGGTGGTGGCCTCATGACACCCTGGGACGTGGCCCACGGGGTCTGAGTAGAGGGGCTCACCCAACGCAGGGGCAGGACCATCCACGGGGACCCTCGTTGTAAATAATGTCCTTATTTGCTCCTTGTAGCCCAGGAAGATCCTGTGGAGAAGGGGAACCATTGCATCATGCCTTGAAGGAGGGGACACGTGACTGGGGGTTTTGAGACCCTCTTCCCAAGGGGGGGGGTCACAGCCACCTCACGACAAGGAGATCCTCAGGCAGGGCCAATATGGTTTGAGCATCTCTCAGCTCCCTGGGGACTTGATAGAGATGGACGTGGAAGGGGGTTTCCTTGGCTGAGGTGCCCTGAGTTTAGGGATCCTGTGCTCCCCCCACCATGTCATGCTGGGAGCGTGTTTTTGGCTGGTGGGAGGCCAGGTCTGGAAGTGGGGGGGGGGGGGGGCAGAAGTGGGTGCTGGGGGTGTGGCGGGGGTCACTAGTGTGTGCGATGGACTAGGGATGCTAGCTGTCAAGTCCTCAACACCTCTTCTGGCTTCCTCCTGACTGGCAACGAGAAGCTGCTTTTGGACAGGTCTGTTATAGGCTGTTTGGGACCTTCTGCCTCATTATCTGGTCTCATAAATCTTTCCCAAAAGAGTCCTGCTGTTACCTATCTCTGGTTGGTTTATGGCTCCAGCCCTGCTCTTCATGTCACCTTATCTTTAGCCTTGTTCTTCTGTGTTACCTTCATTTTATTCTTCATCTTCCCGCTCTCTGGGCACTTGATGAAACCAGGCACACATCTCTATGCCAATTTAAGCCGATTTCTTTAACCCTTCCTCTGCTGGTCCTATGCATCCATCTACAGACTTTTGTGGTCATACGGGTGTTATTGTTTCTTACAAATCCGCCTGGCAGCCGATTTGGTGAATTCAGCCATCCTTGAGATGCTGGTGGGGACATCTCTGGGCAGCTCCTCGCCTTGGTCTGTGGCACTGTCCTACCTGCTCAGTAGCGTCATAGGAATGGGCTTATAATTCCCATTCCCATGCAGGAGGCAAGCACTGCCCTGCCCTGCTGCATGAGAGAGATGAAGTTGGAGTTTTCTTTGGGCATTTCATCCTGGGCCAAGCACGTCCTTTAGTTTGTTTGGAAAAGAGGAGAAAGAAAGAAGGTCATTTTCTCTGTTTTGCTACCAGACTTCAAGCCCTCTGTGGGGTTTTCTCTGGGTTGGGAGGAACAGAGCCCCTCTGTGCCTGGACAGGAGGATGAGCGGGATAGCTCAGCACCGTACCAACTTCTTCACTGATTTTGGGCAGCCTAAGGGCTTCCAGCAGCCCTGCTGACATATAGTTTTGGGATACGGTAACAGACACCAGACCAGAAGCTTTAGGGATAAACAATTTATCTCTAAATAATGGTACAGTAATAAATACAGAGCAGTAGTGCAATTACCCGGGTCATAATGGCAGCAAATCCAGTAATTCAGTAATACAGGGCTAGACTTAATATCCAGACATGCAAAGACTTACACGACCATGGATATCGCGCAGGCAGGAAGCAGGGCATGGCTGCTTCTCCAGACAAGCGACTTGGATCAGGCAACCAGGCTTGGGGAACCCCACATTCCCTGACGGGACCGTCCTTCTTAATAGTTGTGTTGCGAAAGCGCCGTTTGGGCTTGTTAACCCATCATCACATCCCACCTCTGTTCCCTTTCCGTGCTGGTCCTGTCCTTGGCACGCACGGGGCCTGGAAATAACGGGTGAGGCAATGCTAGCCTTGCGTTTCACTCCTCGTTTGGTGGAGGAAAGGGTGGTCCTCTTGTTGTGGTGGTGTAAGGTCAAAATTGATGGCGACGCC